TAACAGTTAGGGCTAAAGTCATTTTCAAGCATAAGGTTAGGGTGAGGTTAGGGTTCAAGTTCATGACTGAGTTAAGAATTAAGTTTAAGTGCTATGGTTTATTTCAATGAATTGGTTACATTTGATGACTTGGGTGAGAGCAGATGAGTCAGGTTCAGGCTAAGAGTCAGGGGGTATTGAGGGTCACTTTTTATTGTACTTATTTAGGGTGCCAAATGTAAACTTTTTTGGCCTTTACATTTTAGTCTAAAACTATACATGTAAAGCGCTACCCTCAGTGTTCACAAACATAGGCAATGTCCCTTTAAATCTACAATACAGCATGTGCAATTTATGTTTGAAATAAAGTCCCAAAAAAGGCAATTTTTATATAAAAAAAATAAAGTGATAAAAGGTCCACAAAAGATCCAAATTATATTGTGCCAGGATGCAAGCAAACCAATCCAGCCACCACCACCAGAAAAGATAGCCAATCTCCTTACCCTGTACCCTGTAACCCCTGTGACCCCGATATCACAAGGAGGCCAAAAGGCGCTTGTTGTTATACCACCATTCCACTCTCCTTCCAACCCTAAACCCACTCAGATGTCTTTTTCAGGATCTCTTGGACAATTCACAGAACCCACATGAATGGTTTCCAGGGCATATATCCTACACTACAACACACCAGTGATTCCATTTTCCCTGAAGATGTTATTTGTTATGAAACACAGCGTCAGTAGGGCAGGGCACAGTGTCTAAAGTCATTACATTTTTGCGCATGTGAAACTACTTATTGATGCTGATGGTGGCATTTTGTTCATCTCAAGTATTACTTAATGTTTGTTGATTTTGCACACAAACCTTTTTTTGTAAGTGTATATATAGCAGCTTTTAAACAGTATCACACTATGTGCAGTGTGCTTCCTTTTTAGTGATATGATCGATGCAGAAAGAAGTGTAGAGGCCTGAGTGGCTGCATACCTGCGGTCCCATGGTCCTGTTGTTTCAGATATATGCCTTGAAATTCTGAAGGACCCTCTGCACACTCATATATAGCATTTCCAGCAGACTTTGCAATAAAGAATAGGGATATTTAGTTCACACATATTGCAATACATGGTTAAGCTGGCCAACTGCATCAACATCTGCTAAAAAGGGTATATACCAGTGTGCAGAGGGTCCTTCAGAATTTCTAGTGTTAATATGTGGTTACACCCCTCTAGCAGTTACACCCCTCTAGCACCTGATAGATAAATGCATGTACTAGCTATTGGGATTTGAGCGCAGGTATATCTTGTTTGTTGTATTATGGGTCAGTAGTCAGACCTAAACCTAGCAGCTCTCCCCCACTTTGTGTCTGCCCCAGGTTGGCATTGTGTCCACAGTAGCATTTGCGTAGGCAGAGCAGAGTAGGACTGGCCATAGAGGGATTACGTTGACGCAGTTGGCCAGCTTAAACTTGTATTACAATATGTGTGAACCAAATATCCCTATGTTTGATTGCAAAGTCTGCTGGAAAGGTATATACCAGTGTGCAGAGGGTCCTTCAGAATTTCTAGTGTTAATATGTGGTTACACCCTTTTAGCACCTGATAGATAAATGCATGTACTAGCTGTTGGGATTTGAGCGCAGGTATATCTTGTTTGTTGCATATATGCCTTAGAAACCATCCATGTGGCCGCTTTTTGACCTCCTTGTGATATGGGGGTCATATTACAGGGTAAGGAGTTTGGCTATTTTTTCTGGCGGTGGTGCCTGGTTTGGTTTGCTTGCATCCTGGCACAAGAGAGTTTTGATCTTTTGTTTTCTTAAACACTTTTGTGGACTTTTTATCACGTTATTATTTTCAATATAAAAAGGACCTTTTTTGGGACTTTATTTGTAACATAAATTGCATGTGGTGTATTGTGGAAAGGAACATTACCTATGTTTGATCTTTGCCTTCCTCTGGATCAACTATGGGTATAGGATTCTAACTTTTTTTTTTTTTATGGTTGAACTGGATGGACTTTGGTCTTTTTTCAGCCAGACTAACTATGTAACTATGTGAACACTAAGGAAAGCGCTTTACATCTTAGATTGTAAGCTCCAAGGAGCAGGGCCCTCTGAACCCTCTTGTATTGAACTGTATTGTTTCTGTATTGTCTCCCTTTTATATTGTAAAGCGCTGAGCAAACTGTTGGCGCTATATAAATCCAGTATAATAATAATAATAATGTATGGTTTTAGAGTATGAGGGTATTTATGGTGGCAGCTTTCCATTTACGCTTTATTTAATGCTGAGCTGTGATTATAACACTCTTTCCACACTTTGTGGGTAGTTTGTTGTGTTTATTAGCACAGAGTTTGTTGGTTTTTAATTTTAAATATTAGTATTATACAGTATTTACCTAATATTATAGTTTCTTTTATCGAAGTTTCTAAAATAAAACTCATATTGCCTTACAGCAACCAATCAAATCCTTTTATCATCAAACGTCAGCTGTTATTTTTCAGTGCAGGTTTAAATTTGGGTACAGTCAAGAAACAAAGGCCCTTGGTATTTAAAGAAATGTTAAAGAAAATAACTTCAGGGAAGTTTATATATTCTTATTCAATTAGGAATGATCAGAATTCACTCTGCTGAAGACTGAACAGAGCATGATAATCTCTAAATTGTTATAGGTAATGCACTTAAGGCATAAGCTTACCACACACATTACAATCTGATTGTACACTCACCTTTTGATCTACCAACAACTAAGTAGTGCAAGGCTCTGGATATTTGGATTTAAATTAATTAGATAGATTGTGTAGATCCTCATATGACATTAGGTAGGCCCTCATATTATACTAGTAGTTCTAAAGTTGGTTGTACAAAGATTGTATGTGCAGATTGTAACATGTATGGTGACCCTTAGACAGTTAACACTTTTATGATATGAAGACATTCATATGCACTTTATTTAAAGATGTTTGTTATTTTCATACTGTCTAGTATTTCTTAATAAATTATTCATCATCCTCAAGGTGAATAAGGTGGATGCTCTGGCTGTCTGTTATGTAAACACCGAAAAGTAACACTCATAAAATATCTGATAAAAATAACTCTGTATAATAGAACACATTTTATGTGATAGCAGCTTCATGATCAGGTGTATTTTATCAATAAATCAAAAATAACATTCACATGTGAAACCGTAAAGGTAGGCAATAGATGTTGTCTGGAGAGAATGGATTGTTGATAGCTGCTGTAGTGATTGAAAACATTTTAAGATTCATTTGAATGAAAAGTTAAAATTGAACTTTGCACCATCATTGTAGTTCAGTGTGATGTAGAAGCCCATTGGAGATGTGGAAATCAATTATATGAATCACACAATGGATTCATGGCACTCTAGGGACATTTAGATGGGGCCACATTACTTTTAGAAGATTTATGCATCTCACACTGTTCAGTAATAGCAGTCAACAAATCTCTCAGACATTTCAAAATGTGTTAGACTATGGTTGGCAAATGTTGATTTTTTTGTATTTTTATAATCAATTTTTATTAACATTTTCAGATTATACAAAAGTATAACCAAATACGTTCACAGTGACTAGGCTAACAAACAAAAAAAAAGAAACTAGAGGACATACAGCAGCAGATATAAACCATAAATGTTGATTGTAAGCCGTACATAAGCTGGGTACCAATGTCACCCAGGATGCAATTACTGGAAAAAAATGGGGGGGGGGGGCAGGGGACTGGGGAAATAAGACAAAAAAGAAAAAAAAAAACCCTGCCCAGGGAACAATGAACAACACCTGAGCGGGTAAAAACAACAACATAGGGGTATGAAATGTATCAAATCTACAGAAAAATAATCAAGCATCTGATATCTCAGAGGAATAGTACATCCATCCCTACCAAACGGCTTTAAATTTCTCTCATTGATTCCTAACTATGTGCACCCATCACTCAGCTTCAATAATTGCATCTACTTCCCTCTTCTAATCAGAAAGTGTTGGGCAAGCAGATTGTTTCCAAAATCTAGGCATCAAGGATTTAGCTGCGTTCAGTAGATTGGGAGTGATGCTCTTTTTATACAACTTCATAGAAGTGGAGGTCATGTGAAAAAGGAGGCAAGGCTAAGGGGGATCTCTCTATGTGGCATAAGGTCAGTTTCTGGATCCAAGGAGTGATTGCATCTCAAAAGGCTGTAATTGCAAATGTTTATTTAAAGCATAATTGTGTAAATTAAAATGTTGTGCCTAATGAAAATATTAAAATATCATGTAACATATCACAGTTGAAAGATTTCATTTGTTTACTGCAACAGTTATGCTTTAAAAGTCTTAAAGTCCTCCAGAAAAAAAAGGCATAAAAATATCAAATATGTTTGCATTATAGGCAATCCTGGACTGTTTCCAGTAGTGCCTCCTTCACAGCTGCCAGATACTGCCCTTAACCATTTGCCCTTCTGAGGATTTACTCCTCTTCCTGACCAGGCCATTTTTTGCATTAAGTCACTGTGTTTAACAGACAATTGCGCAGTCATGCAACACTGCACTCAAATTAAATGTACGTCCCTTTTTCCCCATGAGTTGAGCTTTGTTAGAATGGTATTTGATCACCTGTGCATTTTTTTTTTTTGCTCTATAAGCAAAAAAAGACTGACAATTTTGAGAAAAAAAAAAACAATATTTTGGACTTTTTGCTATTAAACATGTCCAGTAAAAGAAATGTAAAAAATCAAATTTCGTTATAAATTTAAAACAAAATGTATTCTGCTACATGTCTTTGCTAAAAAAAAATCCCAATACATGTAAATTAATTGGTTTGCTTGAAAGTTATAGCGTTTACAAATGGCGGTATAGATAATAGGATCGTTTTATTTCTACTAGTAATGACGGCTATCAGTGTCTTTTAGTGGGACTGCGGCTGACATTCTGACACTGGGGGGGAACTAACTTGGTGTCACTGACACCCTAGTGACATCAATACAGTGACCAGTGATAAAAAAAAAAGCACTGACAGAGTACTAATGGTACTGGGCAAGAAGGGGTTAATGTGAGGGGTGATCAAAGGGTTAACTGTGTGCTGTGTGTGTTTTACTAGGGGCAGGGGGTGTGTTATTCACGGTAAGCATACTGATCGGGATGGCTGTACTGTGCACAGCCACCCTGAGCAGTGTGCTTGAGCTGACAGTGAGTAAGATTGTTTGTTTATAAACAAAAACAATTTTCCTCCCCGTTGGAGATGCTCGGTAATAACCGAGCACCGGTGGGTAATTACCGTCTGGGACCCGGTGATTGACATCCACGGCTGCAAACAGCGGCTCGGGCCCCCTACCCGGAAATGCAAAATAACGTATATGTACGTGATTTTGCACATAGGTTCCACCCTGTACTAGTATATCTGCTATAGGGCGGTCCTTAAGCGGTTAACGACTGACTTCTAAAGGTTAAGCAGGCCAAAGACAAGTCAAAAATCAAATGAAAGTTCTTGGTCGTTCGATTTTTGCATCATTAGTGTGCCAGCTGGGACACGTGATTTTCGTGTTCAGTTTGTTTAGAAAAATAGCAGAAAAGATGCCACAATCGTATGTGCCATTTTCGTTTTTCGATCGATAGAACGTTCAGTTTTTTTTACTTTATGGCCTGCCTCAACAACACCGACTGCTACAGAGAAATGTTTTGCTGCAATAGTTGTTAACATTTATATGGCCAGAAGACACACCCGGGCAGCATCTAGTGGCTGGGAGACACTGCAGAGATGATGTTTAACAGAAGCAGTAGCCACCTTCAAGTAATGGGATACACCCCAATAAACATACCTAAGGTATTTGGTGTTGTAATAAACAATACTAAACTTCAGCTTTAATTCCAGTCCCAATAATCATAAGAGATCCTACATTTTGTGCTGGTTAAAGTAGCAAATACAAGGCTATGTGGTTACATATAAAAGTTTTTTTTTTTGCTTGTTTTTGGTCTTTTTGGTAACTTTTTTGTCTGAGTATAGGTCTATGCTTGTCACAAGCATGTTTGAAGCTTTTAAACTGTTGACTGGCTCACTACTCTCTGCTGGAAGTTTATTCCAAGTATCAACTACTCTTTCAGTACTTTCTGAGATTAGTTTTGAACTTTCCTCCAGTTTATTTTAAGGTCATGTCCCCGTGTTCTTGATTTTGGTTTCATGTTGAACATACTCCCCTCCTGAACTTTATTCACCCCCTTGATGTATTTAAAGGTTTCAGTCATGTCTCTCCTTTCCCTTCTTTCCTCCAGACTGTACATGTTAAGTTCCTAAAGTCACTCTTGATATGTTTTATCCCTCAGACCTTTCACCATTTTTGTTACCCGACTCTGGACTCGTTCTATCCTATCAATGTCTTTTTGAAAGTGAGGTCTCCAGAACTGGACACAGTATTCTAAATGAGGTCTAACTAAAGATCTATATAGGGGAATCAGGACCTCTTTCCTCATGCTGGGGACCCCTCTAGTGATGCAATAATGTAAAATGTAAACGGTCATCGTACAAATAAACAGTGTCTGTCCCTGTGAATATAGACACATGTTCTCCCATGCCCGCCTCCAGGACTTCTCGAGGGTGTCACCCATCTTCTGGAACTCCCTGCCCTAACCCATCAGATTATCACCTACTCTCCTCTCCTTTAGGCGCACCCTGAAAACCCATCTCTTCAGGGAAGCCTACCCCTCCCCCTGCTAACTTGCCGACCTCCTCCACTCTTTCTACCACTCCATCCCCCACAGCTATCTCCTCCTGTGCCACCATCCCCTCCCTCCTAGATTGTAAGCTTGAAAGAGCAGGGCCCTTGATCCCCTCATGTTTTGCATTGTATTGGTATTGTTCTGTCACATGTTCTGTCCCCCTTTGTAATGCACAGCGCTGAGCGAACTATTGGCACTTTTATAAATACTGTATAATAATAATAATGTTCTAAAAGGTGCTTTCAATAGTCCATGCACCCTATGAGATCTTCATATAGTCCCCCAGTACTTGGTGCTCTTTCACTTCTTTTTAGTGCATCAAACCAATACGACCTCCTCTATTCAAAGTACCTTGAAGCAAATAAACTAAACATAGTGCATTATCCTTAAATGTAAGTATTAAAAGGGCGTGTGTATCACAATCAATATCGCTGTGATCACTTATATCCAGTGATAGATTCTTCCCCTAACCCAAATTCGTGAACAATAACTATATTCTCCACTCTTCTCAAAACACAGTGATTATGTGCCACACCACACTGCAAATAGTGGTCATACAGTGCAATCAATCAAGTGTGCCTCCTGTCAATCCATATACCTTACCAAATCAACAGGTAGTGCAGGCTAAATAAACAAAAATAAAGTGCTCCAGGCAGGGGTGGATTGGCAACTCATGGGGCCCCCGGGCAATAGGGGATCATGGGGCCCCTGTGTCCTTGCCCAAACTCAAAAAAGCCTATGAAAAAGGTACCAGGGGCATCTCATGTGGCCCCCTACTGACCCCGGGCCCTCGGGCAGTGCCCGAGTTTCTGAATGGTCTGTCCGCCCCTAGCTCCAGGATTCTGCTGCCACTATGAAGACAGCCGTCCTTCTTGTATTGTAAACCCGTGTTATGCCAAAAAGTGGTCAATATCCCCCGGGGTCTGAATAGTAAGGCACCTGTTAGCCCATATACCTTACCACAAAGATAAGTAATGCAGGCTTGGCTCAGACCCAATATCACTCCAGGCTCTTGTTAGTACTCCAAATCAGAGGTGTAAATGCCCAGAAAAAAAGTACAATATCATTGTGCAAAACCTTCTTAATATTGTTAAGAATCTTTATTCAAAGCGCTTACATCAAATTCAGACTATATGCAGCTTTAAAATAGCTTAATAGCTCACTGTATCCTTATGGTAGTCCGGACCTCAACCAAGATGGCTGTCGCGATACTTCCGGTAATGTCTGACATAATTTCTGATGCGTTTTGGCATCACGACGTTATCTAGTGATGCAGCCTAGAATTCTGTGTGCTTTTCCCACTACCTGGCAACGCTGTTTGCTCATTTTGCAATCATCTAAAATAAGTACCCCCAAGTCCTTTTCCTCTGAAGTGCTGGCCAACAATGTACCCCCAATGTTGTACTCTCTCAAGGGATTCTTTTTCCTTAAGTACATTATTTTACATTTATAAACATTGAACTGCAATTTCCACTTTTTTTACCAATCTTCCAGCAATGCCAAATCATGTTCCATGTTACATACACCAACAGAGATATCAACCCTATCGCACACCTTTGTGTCATCAGCAAAATGACATACCTTACCTTTACTAAAGGCAAATATACTGTGCACTGCAAAAGCATTAGTAAATGAGGTAAAGGTTCACTTTGCAAATAATACCCAATCACATGCAAGGAAAATAAAAACACCTACTTTTTTGCTTGCACATGATTGGATGATAGACATCAGCAGACCTTCCCTTCATTTCAGAGTTTCCCCTCAGATCTAGAGCAGTGCACAGACTATTTGCTTTTGGTAAATCAACCCTTTTTGGTTTACAATCATTTTTTGCCAATATGCATACCAGGAAATAGTACATGAACTCCCGTTCTGCTTTCCTGTGCTTCTTCCAATGTGCTCAAAATTAGCTTTTGGTAAGGATGGTCTTACATTCAGTTCAGTTGATGAGCATAACTTCACAACCCTAACACAGCTGTGATTTATTTTAAAATTGCTACAACTCCCTATGCAGTTTGAGTTGCCTGGAGCCCATCAGTTATTCTATATCCCAATTCTTCTTGTGTCATGAAGTGGGCCTGGTGCCATGGAACAAGTGTTTAAGCAGGATAATAAGGGTCCATGCACAGGGGCTTAAAAAACACTGCTCCAAGAGGGGTTTAGTGTTGCCTGTAGAAGAAACTCATGTTTTCCTATGTGTCCATGCTAATTAGGTCATTTAGAGGCATATTTTGAGCTCGGCATTTAGAGGCAGAAAAACACCCTTCTGTTTTGCACTTTTGAGAGCAGTTTTCTGGCAAAAAAAAGTTATACGTGCCTAAACACTAGTACAAAAAAACACTCAAAATTACAGCTTTTTTTCTGCCAAGACCACTGGCTTTTTTTTTTTTTAAGGGTCATTTTCTTTTTACTTTCTGTTCCTTTGTGGGATTTCAGCTTTGACTTACTACTGTGTAGGATCTGACATTTCTATAAAGGAAAGGGGAAGCAAGAAAAATGGTACAAGCAGTATGGAAAACCAGTATAGGAAAAGGAAGAATAGAGAAAAAGAGGAAAAGCTCAGTGTGGATTTTGGCAGTTTTGGGACTCTCTTTAGATTTAGGTGTTCAGGTAGTGTATACAGTTGCAAGAAAAAGTATGTGAACCCCTTGGGATTATGTAGAGTTTTGCATGAATTGGGCATAAAATGTGCTCTGAACGTCATCTAAGTCACAACAATAGAAGAACACAGTCTGCTGAACATAATACTACACAAACATTAGATGTTGCCATGGTTTAATTGCACATAACATGTAAACATACACAGTGCAGGGAGGAAAAAGTATGTGAACCTTTGGACTTAATAACTGGTTGACCCTCCTTTGGCAGCAATAACCTCAACCAAACGTTTCCTGTAGTTGCAGATCAGACCTGCACAACGATCTGGAGTAATTTTGGACCACTCCTCTTCACAAAACTGTTTCACTGTAGCAATATTCTTGGGATGTCTGGTGCGAATCGCTCTCTTAAGGTCATGCCACAGCATTTCAATCAGGTTGAGGTCAGGACTCTGACTGGGCCACTCCAGAAGGCGTATTCTGTGCTGTTGCAGCCATTGTTTTGTTGAATTACTTGTATTCTTTGGGTCATTGTCCTGTTGCATCACCCATCCTCTGCGGAGCTTCAGTTGGCGGACAGATGGTTGCATGTTTTCCTGCAAAATGTCTTGATAAACTCTTGAATTCATTTTCCCATCAATGACAACAATCCGTCCAGGCCCTGAGGCAGCAAAGCAGCCCCAAACCATGATGCTCCCTCCGCCATGTTTTACAGTGGGGATGAGGTTTTGATGTTGGTGTGCTGTGCCTTTTTTTCTCCACACATAGTGTTGTGTGTTCTTCCCAAACAACTCAATCTTGGTTTCATCTGTCCACAGTATATTTCGCCAGTAGTGCTGTGGAACATCCAGGTGCTCTTTTGCAAACTTCAAACATGCTGCAATATTCTTTTTGGACAGCAATGGCTTCCTCCGTGGTGTCCTCCCATGTACTCCATTCTTGTTTAATGTTTTCCTTATTGTAGATGTGTCAACCAAAATGTTAGCATGTGCCAGAGATTTCTGTAGGTCTTTAGCTGACACTCTGGGATTCTTCTTTACCTCATGCAGCATTTTGCACTGTGCTCTTGCAGTCAT